ACAAAAACTAATAAAAACTAAATAAAAACTAATAAAAATTAACAAAAACTAATAAAAACTAATAAAAATGCCGTTTAAATAAACATTGCATGTAACGTTCTTATTAAAGTAGAAAATAAAAAAAAAAATTTTAAATTATATAAACATTTCTAATCGGTTTAATCATGAAAAATATTAAAAATTGACGTTTCTCGAAAAAAACCTAGAATTTTTTTCATAATATATCTATATTATCACGAGAAAAAAAAAAATAATAAATTTTTACAATTTTACAAATTTCACTTCATTTAAAAAATAAAATATTGTTATATAGAATGTAGATAAAATTCTTTCATTTTAAAATAAAGACCACATAATTTTGAGAATTATTGATATGAAGGGGTGGGTGCTTTTTTTCCTAAGTGTTTTTATATATTTTTTTTAAATAAGGTGATATTTTTTCAAAAAATATACTCTTACATAATTCATATTATTTTAATTGTAAACTGAAATATTTTAATGAGAAAAAATAAAAGAGAATAATTTTTTTTTAGTTATATAAATATTAAAAAATAACAATTTTTTATATGTTCCTTGTTTTGTCAGTTCTCCACATTTTAAAAGTAATTTTTTTTTTTTGAACTGATGAATCAATCACAACTCCTGGAGAATTTTATATGTTTTAAAAAAGTATTTACATATGAAAGAATGAAAACATATATTTTTATTATGGTTTTATTTAATAATTATAAAAAATTTTACGAAAATTGGAAAAATATACTTTATCTTTATTATATAAAATATTTTAAAATTTCATAAATTTATTACTGGTTGTTTTATTTTTTTCTTTTTTCCAAGAATTAAATGTCGCATGATTAGCATTAATCGTTAAAAACTTATGTGAAAATAATACTTGAAAGAAATACTTATTTAACTAACTCGGTAAAATTTTTCTAAATAAATTTAAAAAAAAAAAACAGCATTTTAACTTGTAATAATTTTCATAAGATGAGAATGAAGAAGCTTTTATAAAAAACATATAAATCAACAACTAGTAAAACCTAAAGATCTTTAAACATTGCATTTTTCTGAAAAACGTGGTGGGATTCAATTTTTCTTATAAAAAATTTAACGTTAACCTTAGAGCCGCCCCCTTCCTTCATTTTTTTCCTTGTTCCAATACAAAAAAAATTTATAATACGAATAAATTAACATTCAACCCAACATGCAAAAATGTGATTGAACTAACAAGTGTCGTGTAAAAAATGTCAGACACTGTTTAAAAATTTTACATTACAGTGTTTTTTTCTATATTACTTTCTATGCCCCATTTCTTGTTAGTTAAAAATTTGTTCTATATAAAAGAATATGTTGTTTTTATCACCGTAAAAATGATTAATAAAATAATTTATTTCTTCACCACAACCACCAAAAAAAAAATATAACTAATTTAAAAAAATAAAAAAACTTTTTTTTACAGGTATAATTGTAAAAATTGTAAATTGTTCAGTATGTCTTTTTAACTTTTAAATTATTTAACTATTCATATGTATTTTCTTGTGAATAAGCGCAGAAACTAAAATAAAGTTTCTTGTAGTGCATTTTTAAAAACTTGAAAAACATTGTGTAACAGTTCTAAAATAGTTTAAAATAAATGCGCAAAATATTAAACAACTTAAAATTAGATACTCATATAAATATGGAAAAAAACATGTACACAAAAGTTTATTGATTAATAAATGTGGAAAAAAAAATAAAACGTTTTTAAATTCAAGCTATAATTTGTTTTTACCACATAATTCATGAAATGCATCGCTTTACATAAATTTTATAGAAAATAATATATAGTTAAAAAATATTTTTACGCTTAATATTTTCGTTCATCTCATATGTTTTTTATGAGATAATGGGAATAAGTTATTTTTCTATTTTTAACCTTTTATTGTGTTGTTATTTTGTCTGAATGAACAAAACCATTATATAGTAAATGAATAAAACGTGAATTTAAATACCTGCTTGTCTCTTATGTTCTTATAAATGTAAAATTTCTTAATTTTACTCAATAACAAGAATATAAAACATATTATTCAATGCATTTGCTTTACATAAATACTTTTTTAACCGTAAAATATAGCTGTACTTTTACAGTCCATTTTATGTGTTTCCGGAAACTGAATTTATACTAATAACAAATATCACTGACACATAAAACAGTAAATACATGTGTATTATAATTCTATAACATATGTAGTATAGACTTCTCGCAAATAATCCTCGGAATATTTAATTAATAATTATGAAAAAATTACACATTTCCTAAAGTGTAGGTATTATTAACAAATTTAGCAAATAATTCTCTTCCTTCATATAAGTCAATTAAAAATATTTTGTTACATGTTACAACACTTTTTTAAAACTAGGATTTATACATATATTAAAAGAAACAATAAAAAAAAAAAAAAAAAAACGGTCAAGTATAATTAAGTAAATATCTCACATATTTATATTCATCCTCGTTTTTATTTTTATGTCCCCTCTTTTCAACAAAGCGCATTTTTTTTTTTTTTTTCTTACAATTATTTAAATATTTCTATGCGTCCTTTTATTTACTTAGATTAGTTTTATAATTTTTAGAGAATTATTGTTCTCATTATATTCACTAACATATTAATCATATAATGCATCATAATATGATAGTAGCTGTCGGATTAATTTAGTCATATTAATTTTATTTTTTACCTTTTACACATGTACAATGTAGAACTATGTGTTGATATTATAAATTATTCTTTTCACAGATAATGAACTAACTCGCTTTTTCAAATAAAATTAATTACTACGAATTATAAAAACATATGTGCAAAACGTTTCATATCATCATATTAATAAACCCAAAACTCAATTTATTTGTTTATGTGAGATTCTCTTCGCCTATTTTATAATAAATGATGAACATAATTAAAAATCATGCATTCATAAATTAAAATCTTTATAATGTACATTAAGCATTACGCAAATAAAGCATACAAAGTACACATTCCTACATGTATATGCGAAAATGTAGTAATACCCAAATAAAATGAACACTACACAGTAATAGTAGTCATTGTTCAATATAGATGCCATTTTAAAAAAGTGAAAAAACAAGAAAGCAAAACGAGATATAAATTAAAAGAAACAAAAATAGGAAAATACGCAGAAAAAGAAAATATACGAAAAACAAAACGAGAAATAAAATATTAATATAGATATATTTTAATATTGCTCAAATATGAATAAAACTAGAAAAACTTTTACAGGAAATATATTAATTACATATAACATATTTATTTGTTATCTGAACTTTAATTATCAATTAAGCTCTGTATTTCTATGCGGTTTTCTTTACAGAAGGGGACATTTTCAAAAAAAAGCTAATACATATATTTGATATTTTTGTGCAATTTTAAACTACTAAAATGTGTATTGAGAATTATTTTTTTTATATTTGAAAATTTCAGCTTGTTTCCAATACTTTTATGTAACTGATAATATCTCCAATCGTCATCTTCTTTGATTTTTGCCATATTTAAGTTATTTTGTGTTTCTTTCTCATCTACATTTGAATCTCCAATGGATCCACTTTTTCTTTTTTCATTTAATGCGTCTGAAAAATACTCTGGTCCTACTGGATACTCTACTTTTCATGCTTTACGAAAATAGTGCAACACTTATATAGCATTACACCATCTATTGTAATTAATATCAATATTAGGTGTGTTATATTAGTTTTTTTAAACAAAGGACGTATAGATTCTTAGAGTAATGGTAAACCCCAATCTATATATTCTTCTTTTCCTAGTTCTTTCCACTCATTTCTTAATTTATCTTCCATGTTTTTCTCTAATCTTCCAATGTTATATTCGCTATACTGGTTATAACCTAATGTATTAATTATATCTACAACGTTTTCTGCTAAATTATTTTTATGATAAAATTCTAGGGCAATTTGCTTTAAATAGTGTATTCAATGTTACATCGGAATTATAAGATCCTAAGTTATCACACATAATGATAAAAATAACGAAATAATGCAAAAACGTGAAGATACTTAAACATTTTTATTTCTTATAAGGTTTTATGAAATACAGACACACACATTTTAAAATAACATGCATATGTATGTATTCCTTCAATTTATGTAGTGTCAAACGATTACTCTCTTATCATAAAATGCATAAAATAGGAAAGAAAATTTTCAATTTTATTTTATGCACCATTATACCGTTTTAGGATTTCAAAAATAGTAGTGGGTATTTTTTTTTTAAGAAATCAAGTAATAAAATATCCCTGGTGTTATGATTACTTATAAATTCAACAGATATGTATACATTTAATACAAGTTCTAGAGTACACGTGAAATTTTGTATATAATATAAAAAATTCTTTTTTCTTATATTATTAATGGATTAAACAACCTTTTTTGGAATGTCTAATATATTCTTATATAATATGACCTCTGACTCTACTAATGATAATGTTGGTTTTTTAAAATGATTTTTTTTTTCCCCTTTTTCTTTGCTAAAATTTGCATATATTAATACAAATTCAAGAATATTGAAAAACTAAAGATATATATTTTTTATATATATTAATATAAAAACAATGAGTTAATAATTGTAATAAAAATAAAATAAATAATTTTATTGTTTGTTTACTTAATGTAACTATTAATTTTTTAAAATTAGTTAATATTTGCTTTATTTTTGATAAATATTTAGAAAAAATACGTTGTTCTTTTTTTTATGTGTATCATATTTTGGAAAGCAAAAATTAAATTTCCAATACTAATCATTGTACTAAATATTTCTATCATAAGTACAGGAACGAATTTTTATATTATCCATTTGTTTTTACCCATTATGTTATTTACATTCGCTTATTTAATTTTTTTTTTTTTTTTTTAAAAGCATATTATGAACATTAAGCAAACACATTTTTAATTTATTTGGCTTATCATGATTCCAGATCGCCTTTTATCATTCCTTACGTTTATAGTGTTCTGTGGGTTTTTTTTTTTCTTGTCTTTTTTTCATATATCCAATTATGCATAATGATGCTTATATACATTTTACTATGAGAAATAATAATGCTACATAAAAAATATATAATTTTAAGGACGTATTTATATGCTTGTATATACTCGTAATTTTAAAGAAAGTGTTTTTTCTTCATTTAAAAATATATTGAATAACAGTAAAATATTTTATTAAACCAGCATAACTTCTTTTTTTAAAATCATTTTTTTTTTTGGGGAGGGTTTTATCATTCACTGTGAATTATTAAAACCACGTTTTATTGATTCCTATAACAAAAAAAATTAAAAGTGATAAAAAAAAAAAAACTAATAAAAAATTCACTCAAATCAATTTTTTCGTTGTTGATAAAAAAAAAAAACTATGTACTATAGATCGACAAACGACAACACACATTTGTGAAAACTTTTTATAAATACAATAAATTACTTATATTTTTAAATTTAAAATAAAAGGACACAATATACTTATTTACATCATGCTTCTAAATTATTTTACACATTATTGAAACATTTTTTTTTTTTAGTTACACAATATAAATTGCGTAAACATTCATCAATATTTATGTCAAAGTTGCTTTTATTTTCCAAATTTTTTATTAAAAATAATCCAGTGGAGTTGATGACTGTATATGCTCAATGTCTAAAAAAAAGTAAAAAAAGAATTAAAAAAATGATGTAATTATTATTTACGTAATTTATAATGAAGTGTAGGTGTACGTTTAAATTTTAAATTACTATTGTTAATCAGTGGAAATCTATGAATATTATCACAGTGATCTTCAAATTCATTAAATGTAGCTTCTTCAGATCTATAAGAATAAAATTTGTTTGTAATTAATTTATATACGTATATATATTAATATACATACTGATTAAGCTCATTTTTATTCTTATTTGTATTTAACAATCAAGGACACTTGGAATGAATTATATGTTAACAGCACTTTTTATTTTGTTTTTTCCTTACTCATTATTTATCATCTTCGTTGATGCAATTATTAATATTATTATAAGCAATATTCCTCCCCCTGCAAAGTAAGCCTTGTCTGGAAAAAAGAATTTTAGTTAAAAAAAAATATATTTATAATATATTTATAATATTTTTAAAATTATAATTGTTATAATTTGTGCTAAACAGTTCTTTCTTCAACAACATTTTTTCCATACCTGAGACACTATCTTTTGTAAAACACTTGTATAATGGATCATCAAATTCTTTTTTCAAACAACTGTAATATTCATATGAATAAGCGACAAAATAATTTAAACAGAAATCTGATATTGTACAACATAAATGCTTTCTTTCATCTTTAGAACAAGAGTTTGAATATATTTTATGTTCTACAGAGTTGCAATATTTTAAAGAAATATTGTTGCTACACTTGTTTACTTTAGATAAAAGTACTATTTTCTCTCTAGTTGTATTGATATCTCTGTGTTTATATTCATTAATATTTAATTTATCATTATTTAAACCATTATTCTTATCGGAACTATTTTCATTTCCAAAATATTTATATGCTGAACTAGGAGATGTGTCAGTTGTCCTATCCATGCTTTCTGTATTTTTTAAATTTCCGACATCACTTGGCGATAATGTACCCTTACTTTGTTTATTCTCATATTCAGACAAATCACCTCTTTTCGTTTCATCATGTGTATTGTCACGAAATATGGCATCTTTGCCCTCATTTACAGAACTGTCTTGCTTGTAACTTTCTTTACCTTTTGTCTTTTCCCCTTTATCTTCAGAAGTTCCATTATTAAATGTATGGTGAGGTGTATCATTAGTATTTCCCGTAGCTGAGCTTGTTTTATCGGAATTCTCACTACTGTCACCAGCAACCTTTATATCACTTTCTTTTCCATTTGCAGTATCATATTTTCCTTTTAAATCCGGGTTAGCTATGGGTTCCTTAATGCTTATAGAACCATTGTTATCTCTATTTGCGGAAGTACTAGATGCACTTTTAATATCAACTGGACTATTTGTATCAATTGTAAACTCAGGTGTTAGACTATTAGAAGTATCTAAATCTTTACTTCCATCTTTTTCACTAAGATCTCCAAGATTTTCAATTTCACTACTTCCTTCACTTGCAGTTTCAGCAGCATCCTTTTCCTGGTCATCGTTTTGTATGGGAATATTATTTCCATTCTGACCTTCTGTAGCAACAGATTCATTTGTTTGAGAACCATCTGTGCTGTTACTAACATTTATATCTACAGAATTACCTGAAGCATTAATAGTTTTGTCATTGCGTACGGGTTGAGTTCCTTGACCCAAATTGGATACCTCCGATTTTGAAGCACTTTTTTCATTTTGCAATTTTTGTTCCTGAGCCTTTTTTCTAAGTTCTTCGACATCACAGAAGCATAAATCAATGTATTCACTATCACGTTTATTAATTTGATTCTCAAACTCCCCTTCATTAAATTCTGTTATTACCTGCTTTAATAAATCATAAGGGGTTTCGATCTTTTTTTTTTTCATATCTTCTATGTTTGTTACATTTTTAAATTTTTTTGATAAAATATCCCAGTGCTTTTTTTTTTTTTCTTTCCATCTTTCATATGAATTACATTTCTGTTGACATTCAGTTACCGTACACACTTTTTTAATAGTATTGCTAGTTTTTCTTTCACACAGTTGTTTCACGCGTGGTCGTCCTACGGCTAATCCTGATCTGTAATCTATTCCCCATTCTCGAATCCACCTAAATATCTGCGGATCTACTTCTAAAGAGGCATTTAGTTCACACTTCCATTTATTATCTCTGGGTGATCTATTTTTAATTGGAATTATCATTGCATCCCAAACCTCTTTTTTAGTATTATTCCAAAATTCCTCCCGGCTCAATTTATTATTTTCATTATCTCGAAAAAGACTTTTCAAATTAGACTCCACCACTATTGAATAGCCAACCTGTTCCATATCTGTCCCCTTAATTATATCTCCAAAATCTGCCCAACTAGATTTCAGGTCGCTGCATAAGTCCTCATTGTATCTATAGTCATACTTCTCTAATAATGACATTGCCTCTCCTTTAGCATCATCAATGAGACTTTTTTTCAAATATGACTTTCTAAATTCTATATCACTTTGAAAATTCGTATTCGTATTATTTATAAAATTCGTAATTTCCTTCATACATAATTGATATCTTCGATCTGGTATACATACATCCCTCCTATCTGGACAATCCCAATCCAAATATCGCCGCTTTCTCTTTTTCGGACAAGATGTCATAATAGAATATTGAAGAAAATCATGATTTTTAATATTAATAGGAACTGTTTTTTTATGATGAACACCGTAAGTAGTGCCATTTTTTAAGGAATTAGCACAAGATCCCACCTGTGGACATGTAACAAATCCAAGAGCGTTGTTAACAGAGACTGAATGCTGATCATTTGTATGTATCTCATTATCTACCATTACCATATTGTTTCTATCTTTCTCGTTATCAATTTTTCCATTAGATTTATGTTCACAATCTTTATCATCTCCTGTTTTATTATTTTCATCTATCTCTTCTTTGTGACTATTGTGTTCAAAATTTTGCGCATCGTGATCTGATTCCTTCAAAATTCTATTATCTCTTTTTATAAACATTTGTTCATACTTTATCTTTATTTCTGTTACTCTATCTTTAAATTTTATTTTTTCCTTGTTTCTATTTTCATTAGTTACATTTAACCATAGTCCTAACATATTCCCTCCAATACTCTGATGTTCTTTAGCTTGTTTATAAACATTTTCAGAAATCACACATTCATTCTTTAATTTTAGGAAATTTTCTATTGTCTCCACTAATGATACATTATTTACCTGAAAAAATAAAAATAAAAAAATTGTGACTGTAAAGAATATTAACCATTTCTAACATTTGTTCTATATTTAAATATGTTTTCACTTTGTAATAATTTATTTGTGCAATAGAAAAATTATCCAAATATGACACCTTATATGAAAAAAATAATACTAGGAGAAAATATAAAGTGTGATTTAATCCTTTCATTGTATTTAAAAATAAATCTATGTGACCATATTACTTAGAACAAACGTTATACACTATACATATAAACATTAGTGTTTTTGCACATATGACTAAATATAAATTCAAAAAAAAAAATTTAAATATA